TTAAAAGAGCAGAACTATATTCATTGATGTATTAAAATAATAAACAATTTTTGGAAAATTACTGGAAAAAACTCTATTTCATCAAGTGTTTTCAACCCCTAAGGAATGACATGTACTAGCTGAAATACACAATCGATGAAGACCTTTCTCGGTGAGCAGAAGTTCTTTCTTAGACATTTGGTAATCATTCCAAAGCTTAAGTCTCCCTGATTTCAAAGATATGTTTTATTTTTGAAAACGACTTTTATTACGCTCTAGCAGCAAAACTAAGGATACGTTCATATTTAATTTGCTTCATTTGTGGCTGGGGATTCGATATGGCTCTTCACTTTAGTTTTACTAGTCATTCGATAGCGCAAATCTCAAGAATTTTGACGAGGTAAATGGATTTTTTTTACAAAAGTAATCATAAAGCGTTGTATGAGCGAAAAAGAGATTGGATTTTACTCCTGAAATATGTCACACCGCCGCTGGGCGTCTTAGCTGGTTTATTGGTATCTACAGGTAAACTTTATACGTCAGAGGTATCTTATCGTCACGTAAAGAATTAAATATAAGAATTAAGTTCTTATGAAGGTTTTTTGGCATAAAGAGTGACTATTTGTGCTGAAAGTCTTCAATTTCCGGCGTTAATACTACACTTATAAAAATAAACAAACTTCCAACGCCTATTGCGCATTTGTATCACCTGTTTTGCAGAAACGTAGCTTGAAAGAACATCTTTACCATTAGACATCTATAATAGATGTCCTTGTGGAGGTAATCGTGGTATGTAGCTGGAATACGTTCAGGAAAAGCGCGCCTGCATCGTTGCGCAGATTAAGGTATTTCTCATATATCAACACCCATATTCAGAAAAAAATGAAGTTTTTTGCTCTTTTTAGACATTGTATCAGTCTCTCGATAGCTTAGATCCCTAAAATTTGGAAGGCGTATTTTGTTTATTGAAAGGCCTTTATATTAAGCTGGAAACAGTGTGAAGAAAATTTTATGTCAAAAAATTCAGCAATTGCTCAACAGCATAAATTTCGCTGAATTTATTAGTTCTTTGAGTCTTCCGAAAAAAAACTGTCTATTACACTGTATCACTGAAACTGAGATTCCATTAGCAAGCAGCGCGCATACCTTGTACAGGTATGTGGATGCCTTTGCAATATTGGCATCAAGCCATCACCTTTCAATAATCACTCATTAGTTCAAATCTCGAGGATTTCAACGATGTGCTTGCCCTTTGAAAAAAAAGCCTCCTTGCGAGTTTTAGCAACAGGACTGAAATTGTGTTTCGCATCTGAGTAATTCGCTGGATACAGCTTTTCTCTCAGACTTTCATGTCTGTTGGATAGCAAAAATCTCACCAATCTCAGTGGTATGCTTTGTTTTTGAAAAAGACTCATTGGTGCTATAATCTGATAAGGATATGACATATTTTGAGCCATAGGTCTAGTGCTATATAGGCGCCTATTTCGTCCTATTGGGACTCATCAGTAGCACCCTCCCTAGGTTCCGTCGATCACTTGAGGTAGAATAATCCTCTAAAGGAATCGACGCGAGTAAAAATTAAGCACGCAAAGTAGGATGATGGTAATTACCTGACTTTGTGGTGGCCAGCAGTCGAGCTTGTGCCTTTTAAAATGAACTATACTTCTGCTACTCATTGGTGCGTTTTACAGCTGAAAGAATGCGTTTAGCATTCGGCCCTGTAGATCGCAAAGCGCAATTCACATGTGGCGTGCGATGAGCGTCGAGTGTAAATCCAAATTCTTCTACCTGTAACAGCACACCAAAAAGTCTTCCTCAAAAATCAAGTATGCCATTAAAATTACCGAGATCTATGCTATCGAAGGGTTATTGGAAGTCTAAATGAAAAGCTATTTTTAGCGAAAGATGCTTCAGTGTAAAGTAACTTTTTATTTTTATTTTTACAATGCAATGTAAAAAACCACTTCATTAATAAAATACACCTTTCAAATTTTTGAAATTCAAGCTGTCGACAACAAAGAGGAATAAAATACGTTTTTTTATAGGACTGCGAGGAGAGAAGTAATGAGATTACGTTTTTGGCGAGACATATTTCTGAGCAGAAGCTTGCATGATGCCGAGAAAGAGAGCATCTTTTTCAGACACCACTCTTTTGATCGTTGCATGTATGTCTGCGTTACAATCAGCTCTCAAAGTCGAGCATGTAGTGTATATAGTGGTCGATGGGTTTCTTGTACCTGAGCCTCACATTTTCTCAAACACCTCCTATCGTCACCAAAGGGTAGGGTAAGATTTCGGAAGACAACACCCATCAACTATCTCTTTATCATTATCTCTTCATGTAATTTGATAAAATATCATGCAATTTCGGCTGAAAGTTTGATGGTTTCTTTTCGTGAAAGTTTAGGAAGGTTAAATTGACTAGCACTTCTTTAGTCGACCACTTAGGAAGGCACACTTCCAAAGAAGTGAACGTTGTGTGACAACAACGAATAAACGAGAAACATGCACTTCCGACTAATTTTTCTTAGCACGTCTATGGGCTTTTTCACGGAGTTGTTCTGTATGCGAAAGTATTCGACTCGCCTTCGCAAATACGGGCCATAAATGATTCGTATTACTCGCATAGTATAAGCATGTAAGCAGAGCGTAGAGGAGGATGCACTGGGAAACAGCGGTTGACCAGGTTTGTGGATCAGTGATCGACGGCTACGACCACTTGCACATGATAACATTGGAATCACTTTGAGTTCTTGGAAGTTGAAAAAAATAAATGGAATTGCCTTGGGATCAATCTACTAAAGAAATACATAAAATGCGCAAAATAGTCGTATGCACAGCGGTAAAGGTGCATAGCATTGGTAAATAGATACATATCAGCCAAGAACTCATAGAGCGATAGAATGAAATGCGCTTCTATATTTTCTGCATAGATCTCAACTCTTACAGTGCACTAATAAATCAGATTATACCTTTTTCGAGCTAACCACTCTCAAATTTCAATAGATCCTATCATTTTATTTGAGCCAACATGTCATGTTGTCTCATGAGGGCTCTTGTACGGTTCGATACACATGTTTCGTCATTACAGACTCATCAGTCGGGCAGAACCCGTCTCTCGTCTTTCGATCTTTTAATTAGTCAGTTCTCTCGGAAGTCCTACTCTTCCTACAGAGAGGTATCGAAGACGAACGCCTTACACTCTATGTCAAGTGAAATTTTCATCTAACAAAGAGTGATGTACACTCAATTAGTCCTTGGCTAGTATTTTTAAAATAATCGAGTGCACAACACTCTGTGTCAGGTGAAAATTTCACTTGACATAGAGTATAAAGCGTTTGTCTTTGATACCCCTGTGTAGGGAGCGTAGGGCTCCCGAGAGAACTGACTCATAAAGAGATCAAAAGACGACGGATTCTGCCCGAATGTCGAATCTGTACAAGAGCCTTCACCAGACCACATGATATGTTGGCTCAAATAAAATGAAAGGATCTATTAAAGTTGAGCGTGGTCTTAATAAAACACTTGAAATAAAGGTGTAATATGATAAAAATAGTAGCCAAAGAATAATCGAGTGTACAACACTCTGTGTTAGGTGAATGTTTCACTTGACATAGAGTGTAAAGCGTACGTCGTCGATAACTCTCTATAAGGAGTGTAACGCTCCCGAGAGGACTGACTAATAAAAAGATCGAAAGACGACGGATTCTGCCCAACTGACGAGCCAGTAAGGACGAAACACGTTCGGGCTGTACAAGAGCCCTTACCAGACAACATGACGTGTTGGCTCACATAAAATGAAAGAATCTATTGAAATTCAGATTATTCAGTGTTATCGATGAACTGATATTGCATTCAGTATACATGGTCATTATCGAGTGTCCATTTTTTCTATATAATATTTACGATGCTTTCTGGGTACTGTATATAGTGAAAATAACTGAAGACTCGAAGATTTAAATCTTAATGTCCGTTGTACAACTTAATGCATTTGATTAAATGCCAAAAACACTATGAGTGCATAATAAACTAGAGCGTTGCTTCACAGGGAAGAGCTCTGCACATGCTCCAGAAGCACATGAGCAAGTAGAGGAAATTGTGCTGTATCAAAGTTTGACGGGAATCCTGTAAAGTTTTACAAGGCACAGAAAACACCCTAACCAAACAACAAAAATCGAGCACTGCGCGCTCAACGATTTCTGTAACCATTCTTTAGGTATTAATCAACAATTCGTCACAAAAAGATGCTATGTCACTGAAGAGATTTTCATTATAATATTTTAGTATGAAGTACGCACATATCTTTCCTGCGAATCCGTATTTTTCATGAGGAAGAGATTTCCTCAGAAAAGAAAACAAATCTAAATCTCGACTGATCAGTGGGCGCTTGTTGAAAAGACAGAAGTTGAGAGTAGTGTTCGATCTCATACAATACAGCATAAATTGAGGTTTCCGTCATGCTTACAAAGTGGAAGGCCTTTCATGAGACTTGGGGCTGCTTCACGTCTCCGTAGGAACATCGTCAAATTACAATATCGAAAGACGTATTTTCATTTTTGCTAACTGATCACCACAAAAGAATGAGAAAGATCCCTGGAGGAAAATAGATTTATTGCTGATAATTGAACAACACTCATAATCTGAATATTTAGACATACAAACTTCAACGATCCGTTTCTCCAGCCAATCAGTTGAACTTCAACCACCACATACGGCTACTTTTCGATAGGCGGATTTCTAACCATTTCATAGAAGTGGTATCGCCGTAAAAATCACTCCACAATCTAAACCAGACCTTGCATTGTTTTTTATTTGATGTAATAATTCTCCACCTAGTTTCCTCATGACCAGTGGTGAGACAACGATGACATTTTTTTGGAATCGTTAGCGAAAAGTTCCTGGTATAATTTTTTTGGAAATGTCTGAATTATTCAATGCAGATTTTTATTTAACTACTCTTCAGAAGTGGAGTGATGCTATAATTATTGATCAAACAATGCTGAGTGATATGAGAAACTTTGAACCACACGCAGGGATCAAACCCACATTTCACCCTTTTTTGGGGGCGTGTGCTAACCAGTTACACTACCGGGGCTCCTGTTCTGCTATCATTCCTTTTGCGATCAAGGATCTGATTTAATTTCCAAAAAAGTGCTGAATCAAGTTTATCAAGTTATGCACTTTAATGTACTTTATTGCATTACTCTGACTAATCCAACACATGTGAATTGCCAGTTCATTGGTGCTGTAACTTACAACAATATCGGTCTCATGAAATTGTCTCAAGAACATAAAAGTTAAATTTTAGTTCACACCGACACTGTCAAATGCTGAGAAGAAGTTTGATCCAAATGGACCCAATGTCAACATTCGAACTGCTCTGCTCGATAAATTTTGCCTCAACTATCTCGACCATTCGCCATAGTGATATTTGTGGCCTACACAGAGTTTTTCAATACAAAAGGAAACTATTTTCTATTACAATAAAAGACTGAAAAGGCTCCTAAGCAGTTTTAAGCGGCGATTTTTGCCATTTCTCGAACCCCTTGAACCATCAAATGCAAGATTCAACCTCTTATTGCCCTCGCAAAAACAGGTAGCGAAAACTTTTCAGAAATTCTTATCAGCTCCAAGAGTTCTCAGTTCAATGCAGTTATGATAAATTTTCCCTTAATTTGAGACATTTTCCACAAATTTTCTAAAATTTGTCCATTTTTTGGACATTAACGAAAATTTTGCTTTTATGTATATATTTCTGTTTGAAATTTTTTTTAAAGGATGTTTGATAGTAATAAATCACTCATATCCTTCGATAAGTCAAAACAACTTGCTGGTGTAGCAGTGGTTCGTATGTGATGTTAACAATAGATTGTACCAAAACGCTGAAAATATGGCATCAGGTAGGAGCGTACTACGGCCCTGGCGTTCGAGAACATCAAAGACCTAAAGAACAAATTTTTCCTATGAGTTGGAACTGTTTATTTGCAAGTGTTCTCAACGAAAACATGTGAAACTATGCAAGTCATGTTAGCCCTAGAGGATGACGACATGTCAGATAATTGAGGATCGTCTGAAAGGCCTTATATAAAAAAGAGAAAAAATCGATATCTAAGACCTGTCAACTTACTGCTTGCATAACAAGACGTCGTCCAAATTTCTGAGCTACCTCCTTGCGAAGTTAAAATGCCACGCACTTGAGTCCACACCGGTATCGGTAGAGAAAACTATGACAACAGGCAAATTGAAGGCAGTAACGCTGAAGGGCCTGGTGCACGTTGCCACAGAACTCCAAAGCTTTTTATTGGCAAGTGAAGCACCAAATCATTATATCACCTGTATCTCCTGTCACCTGTCGTCCCGTTGATTCCATATCGCGTGCAAGAGTAGCCCAGTGGGTCCTCTTCGCTCTAGGTATTCCATGAGGATCATACTTTCTTCTAATCTTTTCGTGGAAAAATTGAACCATCAGATTGGCGGTCTTCCTGTAGAGCGCTTGATGTCACAAAGAATCCACTCGGTAACGGCTCACGTGCATCGGTTGTCGTTGGAAGTGCCTCCCGTGTATGGTTTCGATATCCTGGTGTGTAGAGCGTCTTTGATGCTCGATCTCCGACGTTGGTCGGAACTCCGGATCCTTTGCCTCATTTGCGAGATACGGGGCACTATTAGCATCGACCTTTCAACTGTGCGTTCAATAACGCCAAGTGATCTTTCATCGTGTTTACGTATCGACCTGGTTTCTGCTGCATACATCAGGGCAGGGAGAATCGTCGATTCGAAAAGGTGGGTACGTAGTCGGATGTTCCTTGTCCTCTTCTGTACATCCTCGATGCTCTCAAACGCTCCCCAATCCGCTCGTTTCCTCCTGCTCAACTCTGGAGCTAGGCCGTTCATCATGTTGATTTCACCATTTGGATAGCCGTAACTGGAGCATTCGGAAATGTTCGTTTCGTTGAGCGTAAATGGAGCATTGAAAACCCATCCGTTCCTCATGAACATCTTTTCGCAAGATTTAGTTGAAGGCCAATTTCCCACAGGCGTTGTCGAAATTGGTCAACATTCGTCTTGCTTGAATGATGATTTTCATCAGTGAGAACGATTTCATCAACGAAGCGAAGATGGTTTGTGACCGCGCAGCATCAAATTTTGACAAAATTGTACCCCATGTCGAACCCCTCTTTTTACGCCAATGGTAGTATTGCTATAGATGGCGATATTTTGGCCGTTAATTTTTTATATAGCTCACGATGGATTGTTACGTACCGAGTAGGGACGCCCTGGTTGTCCAGAGCCTATATATGCGCTTCTGTTTCTACTGAATCAAAGGCTTCCTTCAAATCGACGAAAGTGAGACAGAGCGGTAGCTTCCACTCTCGTGAAACTTCAGTGAGTCTTGTAATCGTAGGAATGTGGTCTATGATCTTGAATCCTTTTCGGAACTCTGCTTGTTCGCATGGGTGTCCTTCGTCCAGTGTCCTATCAATCCTATATAGGATGACTCGAGTAAAGAAATCATTGTACAAGACAATGTTTTGAGCAATTTTTGTTTCTTATTCTGCATTCAAAATCCTTTAATCAAAAACCTCGGATGACAACAGTGTTTGAGTACTAATGATGTGTCAGGCATAATCGTTGTAACAATCCCAAGATCGACTATCTATTAACCTCGGCATGTTTTAGTAATTCCTAACTTTCTTCTTGAGCCAGACACGAGGTATTACATTAGCGGTTGAGGAGCGGCTATAAAAATCGCTGCGCGCAGAGTGAATTGCAATTTTCGTTGTTTGATTGAGTTTTTTCCCCATTTTGCAATAATATCTAAAGTTTGTGCATTAAATTGATGAAGCAAGATTTTCTCTACTTGTTTATATGCTCTTCATTTAGTTATATTTATCATATAGAGAGAAACGCTGGTTTACTACGCAATCATATTGACATTCAATATTGTATTGGATTGTATAAAAGATATCACAACAAAGAGCTTTTGTTTTGATCTATAATTTTGCACAAGATCCAAGTGTCATCACAGGCAGTAGAAATTGGAAAACAATGTGTAATTTATCAAAAATGATCATGCACGCTATAAGCGGTACCAGTTCATCGATAACTTTCACTATAGCTGAGTTTATACCAGTCATTCGTTTGCTTCCAACTTTATAGAATTGGTGCGTATGAGGAAATATTGGAGCTTATGAATAGCAGGAGAATTTTGATTGTGGGGGAGCAATCGTGCTTGAGTAAAATTCTTGGAACATTGGCATTCTGCAAGCTACTGATCAGAATATGTGCCTTTAAAGAACTATTTGTACTTTTCCCTTAACCGCGCCCATATTCAAGAAGACGTATATTCTGCTCTTTGTAGATATTCTAATAATCATTCGATAGCTAAAATCTCCAGAATTTGTACAGTATATTCCATATTTTGGATAACCGTTAAATTACGTTTCATTCAATGGCCTATTTCAATGATATGCTTGGTTTTCAAGAAGACTTCTTAGTGCGAAACTCAATATTATTTTAGGTGTAGCAAGCACTACGAACTTTTTTAAAAACAAAGCATATCATTGAAATTGTTGGGAATTGTACTATCGAATGGTTATTAAAGATCTGAGAGAAAAGGTGCGCTCAGTGAACAGTACTTAAACGTACAGCATATCTTATTCTTACTGCAACAGCGAATTAGAACAGGTTTTTCAAAAAGCAAGCACGCCATTGAAATGCTCGATATTTAAGCCTTTGACTGGTTATTAAAGAGCGACGACTTGATGCCAATATTGCGCAGTCCATCCACATACCGGTGCAATGTATGCGCGTCCCATATGAAATGCCATCGTAATTCAGTGTTACAGCGCAATAAAAGATTATTTGATAAACCAAAAGCACCACTGAATTTATAGGAATTTGTGCTATAGAGCTGCTAGTAAACCTTTCGAAAAAAAGCTTTGCTCATCGAAAAATGCTTGTGTGCCAAATAACTTTTTTTGTTGCTATAGCGTTACATAAGGGCGTTTGAAAAATAAAATGCACTCTTCAAATTTCTAGAATTTAATCTATCGAATGACTACCAAAGTGTCCGGAAAAAGCAAATAATACGTCTTTTTGAATATGAGTGCTGATAGGGAAGTACCGTATTCCTCGTTATGATGAACGCGCGCTCTTCCGACACTTACTCCAGCTACATACTACATGTACCTCCACAGAAACCTCTATGAGAAATGTTAAGTCGTGAAAGATGTGATTTCAAAGGACGTCTAGCAGGACAGGAGATACAAATGCACAATAACGGTTAAAAAACATGTTGATTTATTCAGAAGTATTTGGTATTGATGCTGAAAAATGAAGGATTTCAAGACAAGTAGTCGCTCTTTATATTGAAAAAATCTCTATAAAAGGTTCATTCGTGATATTCCTTCCTTCATGTAACGACGATATACCTCTGACATATAAACTTTACCTATATTTACCAATAAAACAAGTTTTGACGTCCAAGCGATGGGGTAACATTTTAGGTGTGAAATGCAATTTTTTTTTTGATCATAAAGCGATCTGTAATGAATTTCCAAAAGAAAACATCAACTATATCCTCAAAATGCTCGGAATTTGGACTACTGAGTGATTAGTAAAACTTTATTGAAGACCCATATCGAAGCCCGAGCCGAGCAAATGAAATAAATTGAGTGTGAAACATACTTTTGTTAAGGATATGACATATTTTGAGCCATAGGTCTAGTGCTGAGCGGGTCTGTAAAAAAGCGTCGATAACAGAACATAGTTTGTTTTCGCTTATACGACGTAATAAAAAGTCTTTTTTAGAAATCAAGCACATTTTCTAATCGCAGAGATTTAAGCTTTCGAATAATCACCAAATATCTGAGAGGAAACTTCTTGCCCAACAAGAATGGCCTTCAAACATTTGTGTACCTCAGCAGGTACACGTCGTTCCTCAAGATCCATATAATAGTGCACCCACCATGTGAACCTTACTATGATAACTGCCAACAGAACTCGTTGTAAAAGTAAAACGGCACTCCAATCACTCCCTAAAGCAAAGTGAAGTTTTCTTTTCGTTGTTACCGTACACTAAGAGCTCTTTCT